TTTTATTTGATATTTCTCATCAATAAAAGCGACTTTATTAAGGCTGACAGCTCGTTCAAACCCAACTATGTGAATCAAACACGTTAGACAAACAGCAGACATGTAGAAGAAGAAAAAGAGACAAAGTTTAACCTCAAAGGAGCATAATTCATCATGAGAGCACGTGGATGACGTCACTCCACCGTGTCTTTCATAGCAGGAAGAAGTTTGATGCAACGCTCTGAGCTCCCTCTGCTGGATTCCCCTTGAAACTACTACTATAGTACTACTAATATATCCTATATGAATATGAAATGTGAAGAATGGGCCTGTTAGCGTGTGCGTGATTCAACCTGACACGCACACGTTATGCAATAAGTCACCTGACGCACACGGTCCTGCTGTAAATCTACTCTGAGAGCTGTGTGAGGACCTGAAGGGGCCCCGGCGACAGTTTGTGGGCGGTGTTGGCGGTTCGTCCCTCCCCCCTTTGGATGGAGCCTATTCTCAGAAGTCTTTGCCAACCAGTCGCAGAGCAGGAGGCTCTAGAAGAACACAGGTGTCCTCTTCTTGAAGAGTCATGGAGACGTTCGACGTGTTCCTCCAGACCTAGTGTTTTCTAGTGTTCTATTCTCTGACATCATTCACACCCTGATGATGTTTAATGATCAGGTTTAAGTGTCTCTAAAGACACGTGGACACATGCGGGGCCGGGGATCAGACCTCCGATCCGGTGATCTCCAACGTCGCCCTGAGAGCCTCCTAGAAATTATCATAACAATTAATGTAAAAAAACATGGTCAAATGCTCACTTTAAATGCAAAGCTACGTTTCATTATTATCATATTTACATTCTCAGTATTGTTTTCCTCCATTGATTGATCTGGTGGGAACATTCAGGTTAAAATTATGAATAAACATAAAACACATTAACTTACTACACCCTGTTCTGGATAGAAAGGCTTTTTTTATCCAACAATCGCAAAAGCAATAAATCATATTATCATAACAAAATGATCATAATGTAGTAAATCGTGGTCGCATGCTCACTTTAAATGCAAAACTATGTGTTAATATTATCATATTTACATTTTGAGTCTTGTTTTACTCCTTTTTCCAATAATAATCTGATTTATCTGGTGGGAACATTCAGGTTATTTAAATAAAATCATCAATGAATATAAAATGCTCTAAACATTTTTGCTAAATGGGTCAATTCATCTCAGCAGTGAGTGAACGTGATGAAGAAAGCTTGACTTGGTTTACAATCATCAAGAAAGACTAACACCTGCAGCGCTGCATGTACAGCTTTCATAAGGACATTGTTCGATGTTCACATTTCTACTGGTTTTTTTTGTGCTGTCTTTCCTTCCTGCATCGCAATGACATTGTTTGCCAACAAATTACCGTACAAACAGTAAAAGCGTAAATGTGAATCTTGTGAGTCTCTTGCAATCAATCTCCCACAAACACTAAGGTGTAACTTCCGTACAGTGCAGACATAAACAACCTTCTTTATTCTTCTCTTTCCATCATTTAAATAAGGCGATGTGATCTCAACAGTAGACGTGTCCGTGTGTATAAGCAGGCTTTTAGCGTCTGCATGTGTAAATACATCCAGTAAATGTAGCGTGTAAATGAGGACAATCAATAAGTATCAATAAGGTGTTCATCTGAGCCACAGACAGGAAGTCACAAAGGATTGAGACAAACAGGACATTTTAGGACACAACAGCAGATTTCTTTTCATCTGAATGGGGTCAAAGTGTCTTCATGTGGCTTTTTGAAGGGGCTGACGGGCTTCTGACTGACACTTTGTTGCTTATATTAACGTAGATGTTCAAGTGGATTCTACTACTTACATTCATACCACACTGCATGCTGGGATACGCTGGTTCTCAGAGGACAGACGTGTCCTCCACATCTCCCCCCCGGAGGGCTGCTTCCTTCCACCGCGTTGAAGCAGCCAATGGGACGGGAACGCCGAGTCGCAGCCGGAGTGATGCACGCAGTGGATGAGGAGCAGATGGATGCAGTCGCCCTGCTGGAGCTCCGGCGGCTCCTTGACCCCCGACATCACCTTCAGCTCTGCAGCAATCTGTTGTTTGTTTGCTCTTCATACGTGACAATAAAAAGAACTTTGACTCCGTGGGATCGAATCCCGCTGAGTTCCATCCACCTAATGTCACATGTTTAATGCTGAAGAAACACATTCACTTTCCCACAATGCTTTACTCTGAAGAAAGAAGAGCTGATGACACGAGGCGACGAGCAGAACACGGCTTATCAGATACAGCCGGGGTTCAATGCGTTGGGGGGGGTTAAAGTGAGAGAGAAAAGAGGGAGTGTGTTCAGTGGGACATCAACATGTTAGTAACACAAATAAATGAACATTAACGTCTCTGTTGGTGTTATTGTGTCTTTATTATATTCACTCTGTGATACATGTTGGGAATATGAGTGATGTTACTGGTTTAATCACATCGGTGAAGCTTTCAAAAGGTTCTTATTCAGAACAAACCTGCTTATGTGAAATTATAATTGATTTCACTGAACATTTTATAAGATTTGAAGTTAAAATCGGTTCAAAAATAATCATCTTATTTTTATCAATGCAAACAATCCTTGAAATTCACTTTGTTTTTATTAGCATGAATCCTAATAAAGCACACACACAAATCTCCATGTATCTCATATTGAGGGGTGGGGGGGCAGACAAGAGACCTTTTTATAAAATGTCTTCTTGAACACTGTGATACAAAGATTAATATTAAACCCTAATTAGGACCCAACATCTAAAAGTTGATTGATTGATTCATCCACAGAGGCAACGAGCACAGCAACATTAAAACACACCTTGCTGAGCTCCTTCACACTTCATCTGCAACACCACAAGTCCCAGAGAGCTGTGGACCCCCCAGAGTCCAGACCAGCTCAGGTACCCCTCACCTGCACCACCTGCATCTACACCCACATGAACCACCATCAGCTGCACAGACTGAACTATGTGGTGAGCAGAGAGGAAGGTTCTCCATCAGGAGGAGACTCTCCCTCCTGCAGAGAACACAGAGCCACTGAGGAACCAGGACTGAACCCGAACCCAGGATAAAGAGGTTCAGTGAATGTGGTGTTGAAGGTGTGGAGGTGGATCAGTGTGTCGGAGGAGACTGTGAAGAAGGACAAAGAGCCAGCAGGACAGTCCACATACACTGCTACTCTACCAGAGGAGGAGGAGGAGGAGGAGGTGATGCGTGTAACTGTCTTATTGTGACAGACAAAGTAACCTTTATCAGAGCACCCTAGATACCAGGACTGATCATTCAATCCAAACCGACAGTCATCACTGTATCCTTTCCTATTGATTCCTTTGTAACTCACTGATACATTAACTTCTCCGCTCCACTCAACCTCCCAGTAACAGCGACCAGTCAGACCAGATCTACAGAGCAGCTGAGGGAAGGACTCAAATCTGTCTGGATGATCAGGAAATGACTGATCGTCCACCCCACATGTCACCTTCCTGTTGTTGTCAGACAGTTTGAGTTTTCTGTTTACTGTGTTTGTGTCGATTGTGAGTTCACAGGAATCTGATGAGAGAACAAAACACAATACAGCTGCAGTTATTAATCATGTGTTCATCTACTGACACTTTGATGATGACATCACAGAGGTGAATGAGTGATGTCACACTTACACTTCCTCAGACCTGGTCTCAACCATCGGACTCCAGCAGGCTCCACCCTGAAAGGAGGAGGGGGGGGGTCAGAGCAGCATGGAGACATGGACATTACATCACTCTCACACACAGCTTTGTCCTTAAGTGTCCACATGGACCATCTCTTCTTCTTCTGATTTTACCG